CAACCTCCACCTCCTGGGTTGAAGTGATTCTCCTGCCTCAGTCTCCCGAGTAGCTGGGATTACAGGTGCCTGCCACCATGCCCAGCTAACTTTTGTATTTTTAGTATAGACGGGGTTTCTCCATGTTGATCAGGCTGGTCTCGAACTCCTGACCTCAGGTGATCCTCCCGCCTCGGTCTCCCAAGGTGCTGGGATTACAGGCATGAGCCACCACACCTGGCTGGAAATAATTTCTAAGAATAAAGTTTGAAAAGCAGGTTAGGGGTGACGTCGGTAGCACAAGCAGAGGTGCTGTGTGGGGAGAGCCTAATCCTGGCCCCAAGAAAGATGGCTCCACCCCAGAAGGCTGGAAAACCTCATGTCCAGTGCTTGCGGCCTCACCTGGAGTGGCTGTCAAGTGACCTAGAACTGCACAGCCACTGCTGTGTGCCAGGTCAAGACTGAGCCTAGTCATGTAGTCCTCAGGACTGTCGGGTGGATGCTGGCAGGGCCATGTCTCTTCGAGCATTAAAGCGGCCTGGTCAGCCTCCTGGCTGCACCTAGGATCTTGGTAGCCGCATCTCATCCCAGAGACCCGTGAGACCATCTTGGGGAACCCCACAGCCTGTGTGTCCAAGCATTCTTCTCACCTCTATCCCGCACCCAACTCTCCTTCCGCTCCTGCAGAGAAGCAGATTTGCTCAAGAGTGAGGGACACGCTGGGCCTGTAGGCCAATTTTGGGTTGATCCCAGAACCCCTCACCCTGCCCCTGGGGTCCAGTCCTGCCCCTCAGCCCGTGGCCCTGCTGTGGGCTGGGCTGCTTCCTTGGTCCCCACCCGGCAGCTCCTCCTCGATCCCCCTGCCAACCCTAGGGGAGGGCCTCCTTCAGCAGCCCCTTCTCTCCCCTATGAGCAGCAGCGGCCACAGGACACCCCTTCCACCCTCTCCTGTCTCTTTCTCAGGATGTCAACCCTGCCAGAGCCCCTGCAGGGTCTAGGAAATACCCCACCTCCCAGTCCTGACTGCAAGCCTCTCCCACCCACTGGGACCCCTGCCTTTACCTCCTTGCTGCCTCCTCATCCACGGCCTCGCCTGTGCTCGACAGTGCTCACTCAGCCAGGGGCTCTCTCCTGAAAAACCTCTTCCCCACCACCCGCCGCCCCCGGCCTCGGGGTCCCACCCCTTAGGGACCCGATTTCGCGAAGCCCCTCTCCCCAGCATGTGCCGCTGGACACCCCCAGTCGGGCTGACTCTTTCCAGCTCAGGCCCCCACTGCCCCTCCCAGTTTCCATTTCTTGCTCCTTCCCCACCCACCTCTCCGGCACAGAATTTGGTCAGGGTACGGTCCAGTCTCCTATTATTCGTTCTCCCCGCAGCATGTGACCCAGCCCATCCCCGCTCCTTCTTCCTCGCCCCGGGACCCTCCAGCTTGGCCCTCCCCACTTCCTGGGCCGGCCGGCCCTCACCCTCGGCAAGGATCCCCGGGCTCCTCTCCTCGACGCCCGACCTCTCCAAGGGCCTACAGTGGACAAGGTCCCCGCGTCCAGCAGCGCCCGTCCATCAGGGAGACGGTCATC